TATCCAAGAATGGCCCACCCCAAAGAGTGTTGGAGAAGGACTTTGTGCTGCACTCCCCCTTACTAGGTTGTCTCTTAGCCAAGTTTGATAAACTAATCAATTCATTTCTATTTCTCCCCCTTTGTAATCATCAAAAAGAATTATATGCCAGAGTAGTTATCAAGATTAATTATTATAATCATACAATGATGTGAGAGTAAAGACTTCTTAACATTCATTCTATTAAGATCACTATGCATGAGTTATGTTCACTTAGTTATCAAGATTTAATTTTCAGACGTAGATAATAGGAGAGACATTCGTACAATAAATGCTTATCATTAATTTTTATTTGTATTCATCAAGGTAGATGAGTTTCTACGAGTATTCAGACATCATAAAGATTTCTACAGAGAGCGAGATGCTCAGAGAGCAAGAGAACTTGTACCCATGATCATATCAATTAAAAAAATGTATTAATCTAGATCAGAAATATGTTTCACATAAAGAGTCTGTATAGTCAGGCGGAACCCCTTTTTCTATTGTGATTATTCTTATTATTTGGTCTCTCCTACTGTAATTATTCAGATGGATAAGTTTTAAGACGTAGTTTGATACCCGAGGAGTTATTATATTCAGTTAAGAAGGAAAATAACATTAAGAAGATTATTCAAATATCAGTCAATAATTCTAGACAACAAGAAATAAATGTATTATTGACTAGTCTTAGATTTACATTATGAGAAATATGCACATAGAGGCTTTTAGCCAGATTAACCCTATTTTCCTATTCCTCCTACGGTGAACCTAAGGCTCTTCTCCCAAGTGAGGATCTATTGGAGCAGGGAAGCCTTTTTAGGGCGAGAATGAGGGAACTTCTACTTGATTTCTAGCAGAAGGTCATTTTTATGGAAGTGGCACGTTCATTGAGTTTTTCCTCTAGATGAACTTGCCTCTTCTCTCTTCTGCTAAAGCCTACTCCTTATTCTTCTTGTGCTTCGACATCACCGACTCTGGAACAATTGTTTTCACTTATTTGTCCGTTCCAAGTTGCTTCTTCCTCTGCCTCTTCTGATGTAGAACCCTTGCTTTGAGAAGGTTGGGGTGTTCCAAACACCATTCCTTCCATGATTCTTTGAGGAACATTTGAAGGAACATAGTGCATCAGCACCAAGTCAATGTAGATGAAACTACTAGTGTGGATATGCCAGAGTATCCCACTTTCCTTCATCTAGTTGATGTTGGATGACGCTCCAGATATTTTACTGACTTTTCCCTCGAGGTGAAGGTATAAGTGCAAGTTATGGATTTATGTGTTTTAGCAGGGTTGCTACGTTCATCCATTGTGATGGATGTCGATCATTTGAGAGAGTGTGGAGTATAGGAATTTAGGAGAGCTTTTGAGATTCTAGGGTATGAGTTGTGTTGTGATTCCTAGAAGCTCTATGGGTTTTTATAGCCGGAGAAGGCCATGAGATTCTTAATTATTTTTTAAATATATACATTACGTGGCGCCTATTTATCTCCTCGTGCAGAGTAACGTCTAAGCAACCACCAAAGCCTTCAAGTTGAATTCCTTTGACTTGGCCTCCTACACCTTTTAAGAAGCACTCAACCACCTTTAATTGCTGGAATATCAGTGCTAAAACTGAAAAGGCACAATTTATAATGGCTACACCAATTGGTAGAATGAAATGAGACAAACTAGAAGGAGTTCCACAAAAAAGTTTATAATCATACAATGATGTGAGAGTAAAGACTTCTTAACATTCATTCTATTAAGATCACTATGCATGAGTTATGTTCACTTAGTTATCAAGATTTAATTTTTAGACGTAGATAATAGGAGAGACATTCGTAAACTTCCTTTTGTCTACCCCTTGGTGAACCTAGATCAAGGGTAAGTAGTCTCCTTTCAACCATTGTCATCACCCATGGAAGGAACTACTCCATCAAATCCCCATGGGCCCTGTAATGTTATTACCGTATTAGGTAATACGTCCTAATCGGTTTATTGGTGCGATTAATCCTTAATTCCTGATTAAGGATGATATTTTGAGTGTAGGTCGATTTTGGTGGCCGATCAGGTGTCGGTCACCAGATTCGGCCATTTGGTGGCCGATAGGGTTTCGGCTATGCAGTGGCCGAACGCCGTGACCCATACAATATTTATAACTTGTAGAATGCCACGCATATTTTAACATGCCACAAATGCCACTACTAATAATTAGTAAAGCCCGTATACCCCATCCGGCTAGCACTCGTAAAATTCCTTAAACGCACCTCACAGGTAAGCCACAATGTGATAAAGGAATGATACCAATGGATCCCGTTCCTCGTAATTCTTTGTCAAACCCCTTCGTCGTGCCTCCTTGGGCTTGGGGGGATGTGAACTAGGGAATCAAATACCCCTTCAACTAGTGCATAACCCGATAGGGTATTCGGCTACAAGGAAAGTCGGATACTCATCACTACCAAAATCACGTTACCCTAAGCCTAGCAGACACCCAGAAATCACGAAGGCTGAAGGTCAGGTACTAGTTCGACTAGTGCATAACCTGAAAGGGTATTCGGTCATAAGACAAGCCAAATACTCCCTATTATTGAAGCCACATTACATTAATCTTGGTTAGATAATAGAGGTCCACGTTAGCCCAAATTAAGGTATAAAACTCAAGTTATTAATCCCTTAATCAAAAAGGTCCACTAGGCTCACATAAGTCACTATAAATACAATATTGATGGGACAAAAAGACAGGTATGATTATTTAATACTATAACATTTATTGCTCTAGACCGAACACTGACTTGAGCGTTGGAGTGCCTTTGCAGGTACCTTCCCCCATCTTTCGGAGAGAAGATTCGGTCAACACTTAGGATTTAAAAGAGTAGTCAGCAGGAGCGACAAGAGGAATGTTTCTAACAGAAACAATTCTCATAGAAAATCACAATTTATACACATAACTAATCATACTAATAAGAATAAAACATACATCAAATTAAACAATGTCACACAAAACCTTGTTCCGAATACAAAGTAGGTCATATAAATAAGCAATTCTATTGAGTTCCGATTTTCATAGAAATATAAGAACATAGAATGAACAATGGATAAGTTCATACCCTAGTCATTACATTTCTATTTTTATTTATTTATTTTTTTAAATTCTCTCGACTTTTTATATGCTTGAATAATGTTTCAAAATCCTCGATGCATTCTTAAAAAAAAAAAAACAAAACCAAATAAAAATCTATTCACTCGCTAGTGGACCAAAAATAATTACTTGAAAAAATATTCATTGTTATGAGAATGGGAACGATCATCGACAATTTGGTTGAAATTGTATGAGAATTGTTACGAATTCATTTTCGATACTGTTTCTTGTCCATTTGGTTCAACTCTCACGAAAAATAAAATAAAGAAAAACTAAAATTTAAGTCATTACCGTCGGATCAATCAATGACCTATCCAATTTTCCAAATCCAACGATTCTCATTTCTTTCTCTCTGTCCACTTTACACACGAGACAACCTCAACCTCGGTATGAGAGAGAGAAGAAAAGAACCTGTTCTTCCTCGGAAAGGTGTTTTGTTTTGTCGGAGTCCACCCATCTCATCGATCCATGACCACCATCCCCATCTTCCTTCTCCTCTTCTCTTTTTCCTCATCCTCTTCTTTTTCCTGAGAAAAGCTTTTCCAGGAAAGTGAGGGAAGAAAACGAGAGTGTGAGAGATAAACAAAGGGTTGGAGAGGGAAGGAGAAGATTGAGAAAAGAAAAAAGTGGAAGTGCCCAGGTAATTAAATTGGTCAAAGATTCTATTTTGAGCAGTGGCTGTTTATTTGTTTAGTGGGTTTTGGTGAATCGATGGATATGGACAGCATTGACTGTGTGTCGTTCTCTGATGGCACGGACGAGGATGAGATCCAACACCATACTCTACATCCTCATTTCCACTCTGAGTTTTCTTCTAACAAGCCTCGCAATGGCGGTGCTAACAACAACAATGTTATGGGAGCCACGGCCATTGCTCCTGCAACCGGCGTTCATGAGTTGCTAGAATGCCCTGTTTGCACCAATTCAATGTACCCCCCAATTCACCAGGTCACCTCTTGCACCCTTTTCAGCTTGTTTGCGTCTTTGTCTTGTGTAATTTGGTATGTGATTGCATATTGGGTTGCGGGGTGGGGAGGGCAGAAAAGGGTCGGTTTTGTTCTTTATGTTTATTGTGGCTTGTTTCATTGTTTGGTGAATTTGATTTGTTTGGAGTGGAATTCAGTGGATTTTGAGCATTGGTTAGTCTTTCTCTTGGGGTTTGTGGGCTTCTTGGATTTGGTTTAAGAGTTTTAGGTTTTCATTCCATCTAGGAAAGCGTTACTTTCTAAGGAGCATATCTGGGTCTGGTTGACGGGAATTGATAACACTTGATTGACGAGTTTAGAGTTATAGCAATACTTGTATTGGTAGTAAGATGTTGTTTTAAGGAATTTGACATGGCAATGTATTTTGATCCGACCTTTGTTATTTACATAGATATATTTTGTCAGCGGAAAGCTTGTTTTTGCTGTTTAATGTTTCATTTTTTGTGTAATAATTGCAAATTGATCGGTTGACATAGTGCTAATGTTTAGCATGTGTTTCCTGTTCTGTAATATCATGAATTGGAGAGATAGGTTGATATCTAGGCTTTTAGATTATTTTTGTATTCACTGAAGCAACCAAAGAATCACGTGTTCAAGTTATTGTATGTAGTAATGGAGGATGCTCTGATCTCCATAACATAATTTCTCGTGAGGGGAAGTGCTAAAATTGTAGTAAATCTTGGCTTCATAGACTTGTGCATGTTTTCCTATGTTTCAGTGTTGTTGGATGTCTATAAGTAATACCTATGATGCACATGTCATGCCAGTATCATTCTAAATGACTAGTGTGGTTGAGATATTTTGTGCCTCTATATGTTTTATTTAAATAAAAGATAAAATGTACAATAACTAAAATAGAAGATAATTGATAAATAACCAAAAGTAAAAAAGATAGAATGTTAAGATGGAAAAGTAACCATTTATCGATATAGAAGAAGAATCGTGGTTGACTTATGATGATAGGGTTCTAGTGAGTAGAAACTAAAATTTAAGTTAAGGTCATTTTTGGAATTAAATAACAAAGTAATTAGAATAGATGATTATGATATTAAGGGGTAAAATTTGCTTTTGAAAAGTGGAAATCAGAATTCTGTATCCCTGTTATATATTGTTTTAGATGTATTGTTTGGCTTGGGTTGACATATTTATGATACTACTCCATTTGAGCTTTCACCCAACAGTTTAAACCTTTAATAGTAAATTAGTGATAGAGTTGGTCATTGACATGGTATTAGAGCTTCTTGGTCCAAGTGATCAAGAGTTCGATCATTGTTGTTCTCAATCTTTCAATAAAAAAAAAGGTGAATTTCACCATAAATTTGGTTGGGCTTGTGCATTGTTTGTACCCGAAGAGGCTTTTGTGTGTTAGGTCATTTTAGATATGGAACAATTTTTGAGTGCCTACCTAACAATTTAAGCTTTTAATAGCTTGACATCATTTGTGGACAATGTTTAAAGTGGACCTATGTGACTGTTTATAATTACATGACATTCAGAAATGGCTCACCAAAATTTGGTTCTTTATTCTTCTTAAGAAAATCTTTTAAGAATTAAGATTACCAGGAATCTGGAGGGTAAGGAATCTCAAATATGGTACTCCAAATATTAGCATACATTGTGCATTGCCACACAATTTTAAACTCTTTTCTTTCTACTAAAATTACTAAAGCTAGTGAAAAGAAATCGGTCAAAGCCAAACAGTCCTGAAGTGTATTCCTTAAAGAGACTGTAGCAGACCCAAATGAGAACAGACGTGGAACTAGTTCTGAACAAGCACCACATGCAATAAACATATAGTTGGAAAGAGCATTCTGTGGCCTCCGGACCTGCAACATATTAGACACTCCTATGCTAGACCAGATGGGAAATGTGAGTATGGGGAAGAAGACGAATTTGGATTGTAAAACCGAAACCTATGTGGCAAGGTGGGTAAGAAAGAAGGGGGAATGGTTTCAATCAAAGATAAAAGGGGGAATGATTTCCCTCCTTTTTATAACAACCTCCTCTGGTTAGTATACCAACTAACACTAGTTAATTAATTGTAACTAACATTCTATTACTATGAAAACCCCCAAGTTCCACATTAATTAGAGATATTGCTTGATAAGAGCTGATAAAACATAAGCACCCCTCACCTTACTAGCTAGTTTTGTAAGGATGATTTAGGCCCAAAATCTAGAATGGTATCAAACTCTATCCTCAATCTATTATTGGCTCACTTACCATATTATTCACGTACCAAACTCAATATCACTAGGTGTGAAGGGGTTTATTGGGAAAAACCCTAGACTCATAGACATGGTGCTTGATAAAAGCTTATAAAGCTTAGTTATCTCTCACCTTTAAAGTTAGTTTTGTAAGGATGAGTTAGACCAATCTAATATATACTATCAGGTCTTATACTACAAAATGATTATAAATTATAATATATCATCATTTTATTTTGAAAATATGTTGTGTTTGGTATGATAATATCTTAACATGTTGTATACTATAAGATAGTAACGTTCTATGTTTTCTAAGGAATTATATACAATTGAATAGGATAAATTTTTTTTTTTTTTTTGTTTATAAAGATACCATTTACTCAATTCTGAGTGCAATAAATAGTATTGAGCCAATAACAAAAGCTAAATAATTCATATTGGTTGGTTTAAAGAATAAAATAACTGACTCTAATTCAAGGTTTTATGCATAAATCAAATTCTAAGTTTTACTTTTTTATTAAATAAGCAAAGAATTGGAATTACTTGGGTTGAATATTCACAGGTGCATAAAACCTTAGAATATTCTATGGTTGAATAAACAAAGACTTTGGAATTACTTTGATGTCCTGTTTACATGGCATTCCTTCGATTTATGGTGACGAGAATGAGGCTCAGAATTACAGTTATAACCTTGAGGTTGGCAGGAAGCTCATTTGGGAGGGTACACCACGAAATATTTGTGATAGCCTCCATAAAGTCAGGGACAGCTACGATGGTCCCATTATTCAATGGAACATGGCCTTGTTTTTCTCTAGTGGGGATCAGGAGCTGAAACTTAGAGTTACAAGAAGAATATGGAAGGAACAACAGAATCCTGATGCTGGGGTGTGAATACCAAATCATTTCAGCTAATTTAATTTGGGGGACACTGTTAATGTTTGTGTTTTGGGACACTGCAGCTACGCCAACTTGTGTATGTTGTAATAGTGTAAGGCAATAAGATGGCTCCTTGATTGTTTCCAATGTTCCAGCTCAGGCTCAAGTTTCTGACATTCTCACCAAGCCACTTCCCAAGATTCAGTTTTGTTATTTCAGAGACAAACTCAAGGTTTTGAGTTCCTCTCAGGCTGAATTTGTAGGGGAGTAGTAGAGATTTCTTCTCCTTTGGTTGTAAGCTGAGTGGCTGTTTGCCATGCATGCATAGTTAGTTAAACTGTTTGTTAGCCTGTATGCTGATTGGCTTCTTCTGTACACTTTTTTTTTATGAGTCCCTTTCTTTATAACTATATAATCTGATCTCTTTTATTGAGGAGATCAGAATATCTATAACAACAAAATCATTTTCTCTTTCTCTTCTCTGAAAATCTACATTTTTTATTAAATAAACAAAGAATTGGAATTACTTGGGTTGAATATGATGCTGGGGCCAGGAATCTTGATATTAGATATGATGGATGTTGAAGCAAACTTTGCTTGATGCAATGAGCCTTCAATCTTTTTAGGCCATCTATCCTTGTAGAGGCTTTTACTCAGCCAGTGGTGACTATCACTGTTGACTTGATTCTCCCTTTTCCTGCCCCACGCCTCTTCCCAAAGCATGTCCTATGACTATGATCGATGCTTGTAGAGCAACTGCACCTGTGACTTGTGTTGGAGGGTTCCACGTCTTCTCCCTCAATTCTTAGGGTGCAACTTATATTTGGACAACTTCATTTATTGCCAATTGGTTTTAAGATTTAACATAGTATCATCAGCTGCCTCAATTCGTAGGATGCAACTTATATATTTGTTATTTATTGCCAATTTGGTTTTAAGATGGAATCTAATGTGGTACCATAGCCAACAAGCCATTTTCATGGGTTGCCCATTTTGGTAGGCATCACCTATTCTAGCAGGCATGTTGAGAGGAGGGAAAGGGGGGGGGGGGGGGGGTT